TCATAATCACGCTACTCATAATCACGCTACTCATAACAGCCAAGAGCACAGTTTAATGTCAGACAGCATTGTGTTTCTGCTTTAATGTGTCGTTTTAAATTAGTCCCAAAGTGGGCTGCATAGACAATGGGAAATTTTTAAATTAAAATCTTCTTTATGTGCTCAGACAGTTTAAGTGGAAATAAGGTACCATTTAGATGTCATTTATTTTGCCGATTCTTTTTTGAGAAATCAGTCATATGGTCTTAGAGTTGGGGGCCTTGCTGAAGGGTCCAGTCACTCTGCTGACCACGGGATTCGAGCCAGCAACCTTCTGATCAGTCACAGCGGCTTAACTGGCTGAGCCACACAGCGCCCCCATTATGTGATTCTCTGCCTTTCTTTTGAGCTTTACTGACTTGTTTTCTGTCCGGGTCAGAACCTGGACTCGGACCTGGGCAGCGTGGGCATCGAGGGATGTTGGCAGGCTGATAGCCAGCGGCTGCTCAATGAGGTCATGGTTGAGCATTTCTTCAGGCAAGGTGTGCTGGACGTGGCAGAGGAGCTGTGTCAGGTGGGCTACGCACCAGCTGGGGGGGTTCAGGGAGGCCGGGTGCTGGGTTCATCAGGTAAGGACACAACTGGGTGGGATTTGGGAGTAGGGTACACGGCCCCCGGAGGGCACACTCACTCCGAATGTGCCAGGGGACACATGTATGTATAAGGCACTTAATAAGATTGTGTGGCAGTAGATTATTAGAACTTACGAATCAAATGGTGTTTGGTAGAGGGAAAGATTCCAAAAGGAGGAGATGATCAAAAAGTTCATAGTAAGAAGATGCCCCCCCTCCCCCGGACATGCTAACGTAAAAATTCATGTCTGTGTGTGTGTTTGTGACGTAGACGGAAAGTGAGAAAAGCTAAAAGCTGTTTGTCGTCTCTCTTGTAGGAAGCTGGACTTTGCATTGACCCAAACCAAAGGGAACCTTTCATAGAATTAAACAGGATATTAGAAGCACTTAAACTCAGAGATTTAAGACCTGCTTTAGAGTAAGTGCCACATATTAATTCTCCTGTCTTTGTATGTATCAGCACAAACTTCCTCTCCTCATCTGCTCTCTGGTTCCTGGTCTTATGGGGGAATCCAGGTAGTGATTGGCAGTTCATGACACCCCCCCACCCCCTGCCCACACTGGTTTTCTTAATACTTTTGCAGGACACTTTTCATGGTTTTAAAACAAAACTGACTTTGAAAGAGAGCCTCCTAGTTTAAGAAACTTTTTCCCTTCTTAGGAAAAGTTTATCCTTGTAGATATTTTAAGGTTTTTGGATATGTAAGCCACACCCCAACTACATCCTATAGATTCCACAGGCAGCTACTGCAAATATATAACAGTCATGGTATTTCATTCAGTTCAGAGTTATATTTTTCGTAGTTGTGCTTAATATAAACACTCAAATGGGAAAAAGTAGCAAATTCTCACTTTATGAGTGGTAAGAAAATTTTTACATTTTATGAATATGTAATAACATACTGTATTTGTTTGATTGTTTTTGCCAAAGCCAGTGGTCCTTGCCAGAACTCCCCTGCCCTTTAGTCGCCTGGCCGAAAGGGTCAGATGTCTTCTTTGGTGTCACTTGTGTCGTTGACTTTTGTGCTGCTGTTGCACTTGGTCGCCACCTGCAGGTGGGCTGTGGAGAACCGCGAGATGCTTATGGCCCAAAACAGCTCCCTGGAGTTCAAACTTCACCGCCTCAGCTTCATCAGGCTGCTGATGGGAGGCACAGCCAATCAGAGAGAAGCCCTACAGTATGCAAGGAACTTTCAACCTTTTGCTGTCAACCATCAGAAAGGTACACAGATTTCAAGTTAATATTTTAATTAAATTTCACTGATGAATGTTTCCCTTTAGATTTTTTCCTTCCATTTTTGGGCAATTACTATCCACATAATAAAGCATAATTTCACCCCTGTCAGGGCCTGCATGCAATATTACTCTTTGGTCTTCTAAGCCCGTAAGTCTATATTGAGTGGGAAAAACAGGAGTCACTTTTATTTCATCGCACTTTTGAGTATTGAACAGGAATATGGGTCCACTTGAATTTTTAGCTGAATCTGGCGTGTTTTTAATACTCTTGCCTGGGAGACAGAAGCAGAGTAATTCCAAGCGTTCCGCCCTTTGGGTCTGGAATGACGAGCATACAGAGTGTTTGTCTGAAGGGTTCTGGTGCTGAACAACCCTGCAGATGCGAGACGATGCCTGGAGCATCATGAGTGACTGGGTTCGGACCGGGCCGCGTTCCGCCAGCCAGGGACCCTGTCTGTGCTTCTCCACCTGACCTGGCAAGGATGTGTCAGGAAATGTAATGGGTTCATCTAGACAGGATCCCAAGACTGCAGGTCATGGACAGTACATGAGTCTGCTTTCATTTTCCAAGTTTTTTTAAATTGATTTATTTGGATCAGCAAGTAACATCGTTCACTGGGAACATAAACGTTCTTGTCTAACATGAAGACATTGTTTGCTTTGTTGTGGCAAACATTCTACTGTTACGTCTGTGTCTGCGTCTGCGTAGCTGCCTGTGTTTGCGTTTTTATACCTTTTTAGTGACACAGTGGCTGGTACGTTTTTACTTTGGTGAAGAAATTTAATCTCAGTATAATTTCAGAGATTTTTTGGAGAACAGAAATGTGCGTTAGTATGCCCTTTAGACTTCATTTTTAGAACAATGAAACCATAAACTAGCTAATAGGCAGGTGCTCGTATGTGTGCGTTTGATGAGGTCTTTGTCGACTGGGAAATTCTATTTGTTATTTTGAAGGTGATTTCAGCAGTAACTGCTGAAATCTGTCATTTAATTTGTGTGTCAAGGGCCTCCACAGCCGATTTTGACATCCATGTTTGAATTTGATCCAGCTTTAAAACCCGTTTCTTTCTGTGGTAGCTGATCATCCATCCATCCATCCATACTCTGTCTGCTTTTTAATGAATAAAAATTTTAACTTAAATTTATGGTAATAAACTGAGGAACTGCAGAAGAAAGCTAAAGTGCTTTCAGGATACAATTTGACGGTTTGTTGAGGAAATGATCAGCCTTTTGTGATTAAGAGCACACCAGATAGTTTAATGAAATAAATTAACAGATCGGGTCAGATAAATGGGGTGTTTTGAAGACTCGCACTCTGCTCTCTTACAGACATACAGGTGCTCATGGGCAGCTTGGTGTACCTACGCCAGGGCATAGAGAACTCGCCCTACGTCCACCTGCTTGACTCGAACCAGTGGTCTGACATCTGCGACATCTTCACCCGCGACGCCTGCTCACTGCTGGGCCTCTCCGTGGAGTCTCCCCTGAGTGTCAGGTGAGGGGGCGGGGCCTCCGCGAGGAAATCCAGTTAAACTGGCCCGTGTTGTTGTGCTCCGCTTCGATTGGCCCGTCGCCTTATGGGCAGTTTCCTCATTGCAGTTTCTCAGCTGGCTGCGTCGCTCTGCCTGCCCTCATTAACATCAAGGCGGTCATTGAACAGAGGCAGTGCATAGGGGTGTGGACCCAGAAGGATGAGCTCCCGGTAAGAACAGCCCTTTTAACACAGCCACGTCCGTTTGCTCTTAGAGGCCTGAGGTATTTATTGTGTTGTGGAAAATAAACTGTCCAGATCAGGAGTTGGTAGTCTCATCCGCGAAGGGCCGTTGGGTATGCAGGTTTAGCTGCATTTCCCTAATTAAATTACTAATTGGAGGACTGACTGGCTGAAGAGTCCTCACACCTGGGTTTGAACAGCTGACCTAAAGGTTATCCCAAAAACCTGCACACACACCGGCCCTTTGTGGATAAGACTGGCTAACTCTGGTGTAGATGTAGCATAGCTATGTTAAGAAAAAATATAAAGGCCACTGCAGCTCTAATTTCCATGAAGAAAAGGTTTGTTCTAGAAAAAGCATAACTACAGAATGATCTAATCCTGTTTGCTCTTAAACTGTTTCCTCTGTAATGTTTTACTGCCATTGGTAGCTTGATATCTGCATATGTTTATTGTTCCTGAAGTTATTTATAGGAACTGAGATTGTATTGACGAGTTACACCTGCCTAACATTAATTGCATAATGTAGACAGTGCCTCGCTCTGGAGTGAATACTCTCTGAGTAATCACCGAGTACTTCATTCCGCTTACGGCGGCCTGTGGGAGTGAATACTCTGAGTAATCACCGAGTACTTCATTCCGCTTACGGCG